CTTTGCCTCCTTTTACTTCCTGTGATGAGATGGAACCACACAGCCTACCTTGTATAAGCAGAAGTTTCCTGCCTTGGAGCCCCTCAGACCCAAATACACAGCAGCTGCTTCCCAAATTACCACACAGAGGCTTAATATTACTGACGGCTCAGGCTTCTTATTGGCTAGCTCTTACAATTTAAATTGACCCATTTCTTATGTTTTTGGTTGTGAGCCTAGCCTTTAATGGCTGAGCCATCTCTCCAGCTCTAACTTGACCCATTTCTATTAATCTGTGTATTATCACATGGCCCATGGCTTTCCCGTGATGCTCAGACATCTTTCTCCTCCAGTGGCTGGAAGGATCTGCTCCACTCCCTGTAGCTCTGTTTGGATTTCCTGTGTAGCTATATTCTGCCCTGCCATAGGCCAAAGCAGCTTTATTCATCAACTAACAAAAGCAACACATATTCGCAGCATACAGGGCATCCCACATCAACCTTGACTCTTCATTTTTCCCCCTAACCATTTACAAGTATAAATCTACACTTTCTTCTGAGCAGGAGGGTGGTTTGGGCAGGGAAACTGGAATCTACCTGATGTAGAATACCGGCCTCCCGGAGCTCCTGTGGAGAAAGTGAACTGTCCTCATTTCCCACAGTAGAGCATCAGAACCTGAAGGCTCAGACTGGTCTCTCTCTGCCTCCTCCCCTCCATTTGGCAGATGAGGGGCAGAGAGGGAGGGACAGGCTTCTAGGTTTCTTGCTAGTGACAGTATGATGTCAGGGTGGAACACAGGCCTCCCCACTCCAGCCCTGTCTTCTTCCCGGAACTCATTCATTTCCCAGCCAGATTTTACGATTGTCTCCGCAACCACAAGCTCTCCTGCCAGGTGCTCATCAACAGCTCCCTCTCTTTCCGGGAAAGTGGAGTTTATTTCGTACAAACATTCAAAGTCAGGACTCAGCCACTCAAGTTGTGATGCTCACATCTGTGCAGCTGTGACAACAGCAGGATTGTGCTGAGGGTGTAAGAGGCATTTTGATTAGTAGAGTGACACCGTGAGATGTTTGGCACAGGCCAAGAACTGGCTAAGCATTAAAACCATGCAAGTGCCAAAGAGCCTGTCTTAGTTACTGGTCTTCTGCCCTGAGGAGACACCATGACCAAGGTAACTCGTATAAAAGAAAGCATTTAATTGGGGCCTTGCTTACAGTTTCAGGGGTTAGTCCATGGTCACTGGGGCAGAAAGCATGGCATCGGGGAGGCATGGGGCTGAGAGCTTACAACTGATCCACAGCAGGCAGTTAGAAAGAGTGAGATTGGGCCTGGCATGGACCCTTCCGCCCCAATGACACACCTCCTCCAACAAGGCCACACCTATTCTTTTCCAAACAGTTCCACCAACTAGGGACCAAGCCTTTAGCTATATGAGCCTCTGAGGACCATTCTCACTCAAACCACCACGGGGCCTGTGGGAGAGCTCTCAGGCAATTTTCATTCTAGAATCTTGAGAATAAAGGGATGGCTACTGGTGTGTAAAAAGAAGTTGCCCTTGCAGGTGAAGTGAAGGTCACTGAGTCTGGCCAGGCCCCAGGTCAGTGAAGTTGTTGCAGAGACTACATGCCCAGTGACACACTGTGCTGCCCCAGTGACACCGATGGTGGCCCCGTGACACACTCTGCTGGTCTGGATCTAAGGACCACAAACACAGTCCTTCTGTCTCTTAGTCATCTCTTTGTTCTCTCCTAGACCTGAAACCACCCTAGCTTTTAATAAAAGATGATTAAGTGATCAAAATCAGTCTTCAAGCTGTGATCCTTGGATGTGGACATTTGGAATAGGTACCCTGAAATGGTACCTAATTCCAGCAGCACTCTTCAACATCAATAACAAGAACAACAAAAACCTTCAAAGGACTGTCCTCCCCTCCCCCAACCAGGGTCCACCAAAAGGAGGTCACTGTCACCCTCAGGATGACTGTCCACTCATCTGTTCTTTGTCACTTGAGCCTAGGAGTTTTGTGCGCTTTGTGTACGATGAATACTCTGACAGCATTGCCCTCCAAACTTTTACATCACAGAAATTCAACTCCAGAAAATTAATATTTCTGAATGATTCAGAGGTACTCAGAATGTAGACATTTATAAAGGTCTTAGGAGTAATAAATTCCTGGAATAATTTGTTATCTGTACACTCATTTTCCTTGGGACGTTCCAATTCTCAGCCAACATCCATCAAAGCAGCCCACTGTCTCTTAGGCTGTTTTCTCCATTATGCAGATAATATCATTGGAAGTTAAATGACTTCTCATCAGCATCACTTGGACAATATAAATAGACACTACACAGTATTTCAGACCTCTTTCCTGCTATTTGCTAGATTAACAATTGGTTAGATGAAGCTAGATAAAAGTGTGGACCTGTGTGGCCTTGGTGATTGTTAGGAATTTGCTGTTCTCTGCTGCCCCCTGTTGATTAGAGAAAGGGAGAGCAGGTTCCAAGCCCAATCTTGCTGGTGTCCTAGAACAAGCAGAGTAAGGTGACTAAGGTGACTTTTAGAAATCAAAGTCATGGGGCCCACCTCCACAAGACCACCTTAGAAGCCAAGGGGCTGAAGCTCCACAGTCTGTCCATTCTGCTGCAACCTGAAATCACTGTTCTGCTTTAGATAATAATTATCTGGCTCTTTAGTTGTATAAATAATGAGTGAATGAATGAATGCATGCATGCCTCTCCACAATGCTTCTTTCCTCAGGTTCAACATGCAGTATCTAACAGGAGACAAATCAAGAGTGCCTTTACCTTCATATTTTTTCATTGGTGGGAGCCAGTCCAGGGCCAGCTGTATGCTATGCAACTGCCGCACGATTACTGGTCCATCTCTCCTGTTCCATCTGCATTATCTGCATTCATTCTTGCGGATGGCTGTGAGGCAGCCCTGTGAAGTAAGTTGGAGAGGGACAGCATACCCTGCAAGCTGAGGCAGAGGGGGGAAAGGCTCCTAAAGTATCATGGCACTAGGCCATTTGGCTTGAAGTGTCAGGGTTAGGTTCCGATTCAAGGCTTCGGTTTGGTGTCCATGCCCAGGGCATCTTCCATTGCTCTGCAGCCGGGCTCCTTTGTTGTGGGGCTGTCCTGCAGGTTTCAGGGTGTTCAGCAGCATCTCTGGGCTCTCCCCACTAGATGCCAGTAGCACTCCACCCAAGTTGTGACAATGACAAATCGCTCCCAACATGGCTAAGCATCCTCTGGCTGAAAGTCCCTGCCCTACAGCCATCACATAAATATCTGGCCAGCAATTTTTGCATTCCTTGGGGGCAATTTCCAAACAAAAAGCTTCTTTTTGCTTCTAGGCCATCAGGGGTCAAAAGTATCAGACCCAATGTTGGTCCCCCGAAATACCTCAAAATGAACAGTTATTTTATAATAGAATCTAGTATTTGGGTGTGTAGCCAGATTTATCCAGTTGTACCCTGAACTATTGTTCATGGCCATTTCCCACCCCTGGACTCTGATCACACTGGTTGCTGTTAAGTCTCTGTTGGTGTGGAACAGTCAGTGTCTTGTGGGTCAAATGTGGCCTACCACGTGCTCTTGAAGTAAGTTTTTGCTGGAAGGTATCTGTGCTTGTTTGGTAATGAACCATCTCTGGTTCTCGTGCTACTGAGTACTTGGAGAGGAACTACAAACCCACAAAGGCAAACTTCACAGAAAGAGCCCACTGACTTGTAAACTAGCCCTTTCCCCTTATTTATAATGACACCGATCACTCAGAATCAGAATCAGAAAAGACAAAGCCTCTTATTTAAAAAAAAAAAAAACCCGCCCTTATTTAATTAAAAGTCTTTGTTCTGTGCTGGAAATAGAAGCAAGAGCCTTTGTGCATGCCAGGCTAACACTCTGCTGCTACACAGCATTCCCGCCCCAAACTCTCTCTCCCTATGCAGGTGAGGTTGACCTTGAACTCCTGGTTCTCTTGTACCTCTCAAGTGTTGGGATTAAAGGCATGAGTCATGATATCCAGCTCTTAAAATAGAAAATATTGGGGCTGGAGACATAAGTCAGTGGTTGAGAGCCACCCACAGGTGACTCACATCCATCCTTAACTCCAGTCCCATATCACCGTCCTCTGACTCCCATGGACACCAGACACACATGTACATGTACACACATGAATGCAAACACACACATAAACTAAATCTTTAAAAAAATTATGAGATTATTATTGCTTTCTGGGTGGCATTAAGGGACTTTTCTGTGCTAAAATCATAAATGTAATTGAAAAGCAAGCAATACGTTAGAAAAATAACACCACCACCAAGGGCTCATCTCAACTCATAGTTTATTTTTTCAGGAAGGAAAAAAAAAAGAATGTCATGTCTAACATATGGCACAGGATTTTACTTACAAATAGAGGTGAGATCCTTGATTATTTCCTGTATGATTTTTTTTCACACAGAAATTGGTAGGAAAAATGGCCTACCTTAGAAAACCACAGCATGTGATTCCATATATGCCTTGCGGCATGCGCCCCTGCATGCACCCCTGCATGCATCCCAGCATGCACCAAGAGTCAGGATGTACACAAAAGTGCACAAACTCTGAGTGCAAGACCAAGTCTCAGCATCATGGTTAGTACACAGAAAGCAGTAAATAAATGTTCCTGGATAAATGAGTGGATGAGTATGTCATTCAACTAGACAGGAAAAGTTTTCACCCTGATAAAATAACCACACCAGTTTACCAGACTGTCTTTTTAATGAGTATAACATGTACACACACACATACACTATTCAAATAGCTTGTATTAGCTTTCTGCCAGGAGCTCAGGCACATCCAGTTAGATGGAGCCTGGTCTTCAGGTCAGGACTAGCTGGGATCATGCTCATGGTTATGTGCAAAGCTGGGAAGCATGTAGTCTCCTCTCCAGGTTAACCTAGGACCTTCAGGAGCATGACTTTCCCCTCACTCTTCAGACACAGTGTGTGTAATCTACTAACTGCAAACACCATGACACATGGGAGGAAACACTAAGTAATTTCATCCCTTCTCTAAAATGCCGTTTAACTAACCTCCTAAACCATGATGCGCATTTTACAATAATCCTCGGAAACCAGTGTTACCAGTCACACAAACACACTGGAGCCAGCTCCTGGTCAGAGATAAGGCTGAAGACTTAGGACATTCCCGGCTTGCACTGCAGTAGTGGGTCCTTCTCCCGGTTTCCCTGGAGGAACGGGGCTTTTGCGTGGCTGAGGAAAACACTCAAGCTTTTGTCTTTGACCGTCTTTCTGGGGCAGTTCCCTATAGGCTTGTATGCCTCGTGTTTTCTGAAAACAATGTGTTGGACAAGATTTTTAAAACAATCTTCAGCTGAACTAAATTCCTTTCTACAGTGTTTTCCATGATAGGTGCAAAAGAACTAACCAGCCGACCCAGTCTGTTGCACGAGACACCCCCACATTTTAGGGAGTACAGCTATTTTCTCTTCAAGCAGGAAGTGCCCACTTGAGGATTTTGTTAAACATCACATAGACACAGTTTTGTCAGGTTACTGGCACTTTTGGGTTTAAAACAAACAAATTTAACACCACAGTAAAATTAATAGTTTGATACTCATGGTTCAGTGGATGAGTTTCTTCTACACAAATATTTAAATGGAAAAAAAGAAAATGGCATGTTCAGATGGAAGAATGCTACTTGTTTTTTGACTACCTGCAATAGAGATGTACAGTGTTAAAATGTTAAAATCAGAAACTTACTTGTACAGCAAGATGGTAACCATAGTGACAAGCAGAGCCAGGCAGCTGATGGCGATCAAGACACCATTCTCCATTCTCAGAGGGGAGGCTGGGTCTTAAAGCAGAAAGAAAAGCACGTGAGCTGAGTCAGTTGGGAGGACATCTGCTTGTGATGTCATTCAATGAGGAAGGGGGCTATTTCGGAAGACACTGCAGCACCCTGGGCGTTAGGTTCCTTTCCCATTAAACAATATATAGAGTGTGGGCTGAGAATGAGTGGCCAGGCATGGACAAATGTCACAGTCTGGTGACAGCCTTTCAGGACACTGCTGTGCTGATGGCACCTGGGTGCTGAGAGGCTTTCTGCTCCACTGTGCTAGCCTCTGGTCTGGTCCCATGCTACATGCCTGCCCCTGCGCTAAAAACCCTGGAATCCGTGAAACTTCCATGGCCCCTGCTGGGACCTCCCTTCATCTCAGTTTTCCACAATTCTGATGCCTTCCCAGCATTCTTGAGGGTCAGCCCTCCTCTGTCACTACCCTGCCTGCCCCTTCTGATGCCTGGATCACATAGTGTTATTACTTCTTTCCATATCTCTCCTGATTTGCAAGGGCCACAAAGGCAGGGACTTCATCCCCTCTCACCTCTGTAACCAGCAAACCATTCAGTTCTGTCTCCACCCCAAGTATCCAGGTAGCTACCTTCATCTGCTCTGCCGCTGATAGTATCCATCCACCTGGGAGATTCCCTTTATTCATTGAGCCTACTCTTAAAATCGTCTCTTCATTGTGTGCACCTGTGATGGAATATTATTTTAACTGTGTAAAGGTGTGTTACATTTGTTTATGCTGTGTTTGTTTAAATGGTGTAAGGATGGGTTACAGTTGTGTATGCTGCATTTGTTTAATTACATGAAGATGTGTTGCTGTTTCATCTTGCCTGCCTAAGGCACCTATTTGGTCTAATAAACAGCTGAACAGCCAATAACTAGGCAGAAGAGGGATAGGACAGGGCTGGCAGCAGAGAGAATAAACAGAAGGAGAAATCTAGGCTTGAGAAGGAGTAAAGGAAGGAAAAGAGAACCAGGAGCAAAAAGAGGGTCAGAAACCAGACAGCCTGGCGCCAGCCAGATGCTGGAGGGAGCGGGGAGGTAAGACACAGAGAAGGGAGGTAAAAAGCCCCAAGGCACATAAATATGGAGAAACAGGTTAAACAGATAAGGGGGGAAAAGCTAGCCCAAATGAGCCTAAGCTAGGTCAAGTACTCACACTAGTAAGTCTCCACCTCATGATTTGGGAGCTGCTTGGTGGTCCAAAAGAAAAGGCCTGGTGCATACACTAAGAGCTTACCTGCCAGGGCCTCACCCTTGTTTACAGAATGAAGCTTCGACAACCCTAACAGTGACCTAAATGTGCTCTCAATGTTTAAATTTAGGTCTTAGTCAAGGAGGTCCTTCACCAAGATGGTACCGTTGAATAACAAGATTTATCTAGGGTGCTCACCCATGCCCTCCCCTCCCACTCCACGCCCACTACTCCCTCCTCTGACCTAGTTGTTTTCCTCAAACAGCCTCTTGTTAATTTGTTTACTGTTGTATTAATTTAAGGCTGACAAGATGTTCTAAGTTCTGACCCAATTGACAAGTTCGTAGGTGAGCAAATGGCAACTTCTTACAAGACTATTTTGTAAAGAGACAAAAAACAAGGGTGCTGGAGAGATGGCTCAGTGCACCAATCGCTCTACAAGAGGACCTGCATTTCCTTCCCAGCACCTACACAAGGCTACTAACATTAACTCCAGTTCCAAGGGTTTTGCTGCCCTCTTCTGGACTCTGCAGGAACTGTAGCCATGTGGTATACAGGCAACACACACACACACACACACACACACACATGCACTCGCACACACATCCTCTTTAAAACAAAACAGGTTGAGTTTCAGCCAATCACAAGCAGCTGAATTGATTGACTCCAGACCTCAGTGAAGAAGCGATCCACAATGGCAGTCCCTGGGTCTGGACAGCCTGTGCAGGGTGTTGTTCAATGGGGGCCTCCTTGAGCCTCTTCTGACTCCAGAGTTGCTCAGTTTGTGAAATTGAATTGAATTGGCCTAAACATTTTTCTATAACATCTGTTACTGCTCAGGAAAGCAGGGTCTTCCTGGTTTTGTTCTTTAGCCAGCGGAGACCACTGTCGTGTGCAAAGATCTGTGCTGGGCAGCAAAGTGAATAGCTGGATGACTGTCAGCCAGTGACAAGAATTTCAGCTTTCTTTTCAACTATGACTACTTCTGAAACTCTGAATTTGAAATTCAAGTTACCAAGTTAGAAGACTCACTGGATTAGTTTTTTTCTTCTGATGTGTGTGTGTGTGCGCGCATGTGTATATGTGTGTGTGTGTGTGCACGCGCACGGTTGCATGTGTGTACATGGTTGTGTGTGTGGATGCACTAGTGTACATGAGGAGATAAAGGACAGCTACAGATGTCATTTCTCTTTTTGTTTGAGATTGGCTTTCTCCTTGGCTTGGAATTGGCCCAGCCTGTTAGATTAGATGGCCTGTGAGCTCCCAGGAGTCTGCACCTCCCACTTTACCATTGTTGGGAGTGAGGTGCTTTTCATGGGGGCTCTGATGATCCGAACTCTGGTCCTCATGCTTGCAAGGTCAGCATTTTACTGATTGAAATATCTCATGAATTCTCTCTCTCTCTCTCTCAAGATTTTGCCATGGGCTATGTCCAAGTGGTCCTTGAACTCAGTTCCTAAGTGTTGGGAATATAGGCATTCCCTCCATACCTCAAATTTCTCCCTTTTTATTTATTTCTTATGATGCTGGGGGTAGAACCAAGGGCTTCATGGCCTCATCCATGCCAGGCAAGCACCCTACCACTGCGCTCCACCTCAATCTCCTTTATTTGGTTTTTGATAATGGGTTTAGGTCATATCTAATGTGATCACCCACTAGAACAAAAATCACAGATGCTAAGAGTTAAACTTGCAAACCTTGCAGGAGATGAGTGGTTTGCCAGCACAAGGAAACAAAATGGAGTAAAAGTTGAGATTCTTCTATTTTTTAATTTTTGTTTGTTTGATTTTTGAGACAGGGTTTACTCTGTCTAGGACACTGGCTGTTCTAGAACTTGCTCTGTAGACCAGGGTGGCCTTGAACTCACAGAGATCCACCTGCCTCTGCCTCCCAAGTGCTGGGGTTAAAGGTGTGCGCCACCACAGCCCAGCAAGCTAAGATTGTAAAGGTAATTCTGAAAGAGAGCTGGGGCAGTCCTAGCTCCACAGCTCCTGGAGGTCAGGGCGGTGAAATAGTCACAGTTCTGGCTGTTTCATTGTATTTCTTTCCTCCCTGCTTCTGGGCAGGTGCTGTCCTGAAAGAGGCAGGATGCTTAGACAGGCCCCTCCCCTTCCCTCCCCTCCCCTTCCCTTTTCTTTTTGACAAGTCTCACTATGTAGCCTTGGCTGCCTGGAACTTACTCTGTAGACCAGGCTGACCTTAAATTCATAGAGACCCACCTGTGTCTGCCTCCCAAGTGCTGGGATTAAAGGTGTGCAGCTTAGTACCAGTTCTTAAATCCTTATTAACAAGAATGCAAAGAACTTTGCTGTGAGAGAAGCATTGCTAGTGAAGCCTTTGAGGCCGTTAAGATTGGGCGAATACTGCAGCAGGAAATGTTCAGGAAATTATAAAGCAAACTCACCTTTGCCAGGGATGGCGATCAGGGTGCTGGTGAAGGCCAGGCTTGTGTCATCACCCAGAGTGACATTCACACAGAACATGCCAGACCCATTGAAGGCTCTTCTCACGGAGAGCAGGCACGCCTGGTCCACAGCCACTGGGCTGCAGACCCTGCTCTGGGCCATCCGGCAGGTGGGGTCGGAGACGATGGTACAAACTTCCGTGGGAGCGCTGTGACGTGGCAGCGGGTGAGGGCGCACGGATCACACGAGGGATAAAACAGCGCAATGTCAGGGGCTTTGGTGGAGGTGGGGGTGGTATTGAGGGGTTTTGCTGTTTTTTAAACGGGGGTTCACACTGTTGGCCTGGAACCCATGGTGATCCTCCTGCCTCAGTTTCTTAAGTGCTAGGATTATGGGCATAAGACACTGTGCATGCCTTATAATAACAGTTTTAAACACAGGCTTTTAGCTTTCCTTCCTTCCTTCCTTCCTTCCTTCCTTCCTTCCTTCCTTCCTTCCTTCCTTCCTTCCTTTCTTTCTTTCTTTCTTTCTTTCTTTCTTTCTTTCTTTCAAGACAGGGTGTCATGTAGCCAGGTTGGCCTCAGACTCACTATGTAGTTAAAGACGGCCTTGAACTTCTGATTGTCCCACCTCCACCTTTAGAGTACTATGATTGCAGGCATGTGCCCCATGTTCAGTTTTATGCAGTGATGGGGATCGAACCCAGGGCTTGTGTATGTGCAGATGCACTCTACGATGCCCCCTCTTTATTCTTTGTTTTGAGAGAAAGGTTCACTATACAGCGCATGCTCTCCTGCCTTACTTAGCTTTTTGACTGTTGGGATTACAGACGCGCTCCTTCTCCTACACCCAAGCTCATCTGAGGTTTCTAATACATGGGATTTTGATTCAACTTCCAAGGGATGGCTGGTGCTGCCGAGCCCTTTATTCAGGCTTGGGGTCCTCACTTGGCCCTTTGCTGGCATGTCTGTACTTACGCCCCTTTGCAGGCCACAGTGAAGTCCATCAGGGAGTTGACAGGCTGTGGCATGGGCACTGGGACATCTGCTATCTGGATGATGTTGACTTCTACGATTCCCTCTGGTAAAACAGCCACCACAGAGAAATGTTAAAATACAACAGAAACCAAAGGAAACCATTCTGCCATAGACCCTTTCCTGTGTTGAAATCCCAGCTGTTATAGTGTGAGTGGGCAAAGCCTCTGCTGGAGATGTGGTCAGTGTCTTTATAGAGAGACCCCAGGGAGTCCCCTTGTCCCTTCTGCACTGAGGCGGTGGCCTTCCATGAACCAGGACATGCTCCTCACCAGCACGAGATCTGACATCCAGCCTTCAGGACAGGAAGCAACAAACCCCTGCTGTTATAAGCTCCCAAGCCTACATACCCTACTACAGAAACTTAGGTGGACTAAGAGATGCCCCTTAACGAGAAGGAAAAACAGAGAGAGACAGCCTTCTTATTAAACGGAAAAGCATCAAACATGGGGATTTATCTCCAGAGGTTTGCCTTCGTGTCCACGCAATGCTTTCATGGGCACACGGAACTGCTCTGACCACTGAGATTCTTTACTCTTGAGCCTGGTGCATGTTAGAAGATGGCACCCCTTTCTGGGAGCTGGTTTAGGAAAAGGTGGCTGGGCAGATGCTGCCCCCATGCTCACAAGGTGACTAGCTCCTGAGTCATAAGTGGCTGACCCTGTTTCCAGAGACAGTGCACAGCCAAAGCTTCTAGCTCTGTCTTGAGAAACACGGGTGCCCAGGCTGGGCGTGGCACCACCATTTTCTTTGCTGGGACCTTGGGGGCAGTAGCTGAAGTGTACAGTTCTGTGTGGTGGCCTGCTCATTCCCCCTTTACAGGCAGAAAAGGGTGACTAGTAAAAGTCACAGTGGAGACAGTGAGCACTCCATGCTGGCCCCCCTCCCCATTGAGAATCCTGGAGGCCCACATGTGGGCTGCCCCAGGGACAGAGTTCTACCAGAAAGCATAAGGCAGGCAGGTGGATGAGTGGAGCACAGAGACTGTGAGATGCTGCTTTCCATGTTTGCATCGCCTTGGACAAGACAGGTGACTCTGCTCCTTCATCTCTTCCTGTCTAGTGTTAGCAAGTCAGTGGGTGGCCTTATAGGTTCTAGAACCTTCTCCACTGGTCGTTAGCCTTACCTACAATCGTGATGGTGGCTCTGAAGTAACCGTATCTGTTTATCTGGCAGTTTTCACTGGAAATGTCACTCAGCTCCATGGAGTTGTAACCCGTAGGCACTAAAAGAGTTCAAGTGATACAAGTTCAAAGTAAATAAGGACTGAGAATGTAGTGGAGGCAACAGTGATATAACAAAAAATATAATAATAAAGTCATTTGCCATCTTTGTTTTGATGGGGGTTGGTGTTTATCTTTTTCTGGATAGGGACTCACATAGCCCAGGCTGGTCTAAACTCACTGTATAGCCCAGGCTGGCTTGAACCTCTCCTTCCAAACTCCTGGGATTATAAGTGTGAGCTGTCATGCCTAAGCCACCCACCCATCTGTTCCTAGTTCTATCTACCCTGTAGAAGAAGCCAGGTATGGTGGCACATGCCTTTAATCCCTTCACGAAATTCAAGGCCAGCCTGGTCTACATTTCAAATTCCAGGACAGCCAGGACTAAAAACCAAAACCAAAACCAAAACCAAACCAAACCAAACCAAGCATCAAGAACTCCAGAACTTTTAAATTAAGGCAGACATTTGAAGTAAATGTGTGTAGAGTCCTATATGTAGGCATTATGGCCATTTACATCCATAAATAAACTGTAGGGAGGGTAGGGGGCAGAATAAACCCTGAGTGAGTGAAGTCCTAAGAGAATGTGTGCTGTTGACATGGACACGGCCAGATCAAGGACCCCAACACCTCTGATCCACGAGAAATGCAGAGCCTTCCTCAGGAGTCCATGAGTGCTGACAGTGTGTGCAGAAAATGCCCATCACAACTTCCTCTCCCCTGGTTTCACACAACTGCTCCTACTGAGCTAAACCATTCCCCTTGACCCAGCTGTATGCAATAATCCTGTGTCTCTCTTCACCTGTGTATAATAAACACGCTGAGCTTTGCCGGTGATGGGACTTCTCCATCTGAGAGCCCAGACTACCAGACCTCAGCTTTCTGTCTGAGTATGCGTCTATCTGCCTTGTCTTCTTTCCCTCAACATCTAGTCGGGTCAAATCCCTGGAGGCAGAGCAAGGACTCAACGTAATATCTTCTCCCTTCGGGTGGAGCTGGTGATGGGAACCAGGCCTACTGCTCACACCAGATGAGCACTGTGCTGCTGAGCCACACCCAAGTTCAAAGCACAACCGCAGATGTCTTTTAAACTCAGGAAGCAATGAAAAGTGGAAATCCTATTAGAATACATGAACAGGCCACAGTAAGAAGTCCCTTTCCTTTGGATGCAGGTGTCCTGGCCTTCACACTAGCACCCCTCGTTTGCTCCACACCATTTAACTCATCTTTGCTTCTGTTTGCTCATCAACAAAACAGAATTAACATTACTGTCCTCCTGGGTTGAACAATTTAAACTGAAGTGAGATAAAGCTTCTCTGCCACGTGTGCTGAGGCAGAGGGATTGCTGTGAGTTTGAGACCAACCTGAGCTATATAGTTAAGTTGGTTACCATGTGAGACCTTGTCTTAAACAACAAAACTAACTGAAGTGTTTTGGATGAGATGACTCTCTTAAGTCCTAAGTCACATAAGTCCTAAGGCATTTGAAGACTTGGTCTCTAGTAGCTGTCTGGGAAGGATTAGAAGGTATGGCCCTGCTGGAGGAGGTATGTGAGGGGTGGGGAGGGCGGGTTTAAGGTTTCAAAAGCTTCCTACCACCACCCTCAAAGTGCCCTTTGCTTCCTGTGGGAAGGGAGCTCCCAGCCGCTGCTCCAGAGCCCAGCCAGCCTGCCTGCTGGTACCATGCTACCCATCACCATAGTGATGGGCTCCTATCCCTCTGAAACTGTAATCCCCAAATAAACCCTTTCTTCCATAAGTTGTCTTGATCATGGTGTTTAATCACATCACCATAAAAGTAACTAAGACACCAACCAATTAACCAATAACCAAAACAAATATTGCAAATCAACCTCACAGAACTCTGCTTCCCGTATGGCTGCCACATATGAAGCACTTATCAATTACTTGTTCAGCAATGCAGGAAGAAGTAATTCTTTCCTGCACTTGGATAAGCAGATGTATGGGAATGAGGTTTTAACATGAGACATGAATAAGTGAGTTAGGGAGAAATCAAATTTGGTAAAGCATTGGTCATGCAAGTGTGCAGACCTGGGTTCGGAACCCCAGCTCCCACATAAAGCTGGCTGCCAGCCAGTAATTACAGTGCTGGGAAGACAGAGGCAGGAGGACCTCTGGGGTTTGCTAGCCAGAGTCTGGCTGAATTGGAAAGCTGTAGGTTAAGTAAGAAACCCTGTTCAAAACAAGGTGGCAGACAATTGAGGAAGACATTTGTCATTGACCTCTGGCTGCTGTGTGCATAAAGACATGACCAAATCAGTTGTGAATATAATTGAGCAAAGAATCTAATGTCATACAATTTCAAACTTGTTGGTGTAGCTTTAGGTAAGTCCAAAAGGAACATATGATAATGCTCATCTTTATCTTCTCTTTAATCCCACAAGGCATTGGAAAGGATAAGGGAGGGAGTTAAAGTTTTAAAAGATCCTCATCTTAAAAAAATAAATAGGGCTGAAGAGATGGCTTCGGTGGTTAAGGGCACTGGCTGCTCTCCCAGAGGACCAGGGTTGTTTCAGAACGCACGTGGTGGTTCACAACCACGTGTAACTTTAGTCCCTGGGGATTTGATGTCCTCTTCTGGCCTAATTGGGAGCCAGACATGTATGTGGTGTACTGACATACCTGCAGACAAAGTGAGCATGCACACTAGATAAGCAAATTCATTTTTAAAACGTTTAAAGGCTAAAAAAAGAGTAGGCTTGTTGCACATTTGTAATCCAGAGGCTGAGGCAGAAGGGTTGCGAATTCCTGGGGTTACATAGTAAGACCCTCTCAAAACAACAGAAGAAGGGAAAAGAGAGAGCATCCCAGCCCACAACTCCAGCAGAATACTCCGCTGTATGGGCGACCATGCTGACACTAGGAGCCCCAAGACTGAATAGCCCAGGGACCCAAAATAGAACCAAACACAACAGGCAAAAAAAAAAAAAAAAAAAAAAAAAAAAAAAAAAAAATCCATGATTCCTATTACTAGTCTGATATCACTCATAGACTGGCGCCTAGCCCAATTGCCATCAGAGGGTTCATACTGTGGTTCATCAGCAGGACAGGTGACCACAGACAGCCACTTAGCCTTTTCCGATGGACTCTGGAGCAGGAGGCTGGTCTGTGTGAGGCTTTTAAGAATCCTAGTTTTCCCCCTAAGAGCTGTAGGATCCCTTTGTTTAAGTTCTGGGTGAGCAGAATTAGCTGTCAATTTGAGTACAGAACCACGACTCTGTTGTATTTTAAAGTAAAACTTCTTTAGGAAAAAGACAATGAAAGTCGGTGGTCCTGCTTTAGGTAGAAGTATACAGATGCACATGGGACTTTTCAGATGTCTGATCTGTAAAGTCAAGATTTGTTGAAGGATCAATGCAGAGAAATGAAGACCTTAACGGGCAGGTGAGAAAAACTAAGTACTTAATTCCCTGTTACCCAGAGAGTGATGTGACTATGAGAGGTGTTGATTATGAGTGTAGGAAAGTTGTACACAATATGAAATCACATTGTAGGATGTGTGAGCGTGTGTGTGAGCAAGTATGTGTGAGTATGTATGTGCTTTGAGCTTGAGTATGTGAGTGTGTGAGCATGTGTGTGCATGCCCGTGGTGACGTCTAATATAACACACATGACATCACACTCATCAGCATGTGTCTTAACAAAGGTTGTTCTGTTCCTCAGATTTACTCACAAAAGTCTGAAAAATGAGCAAGAAAAACCAGAGAAAGAAAAAGTTCTTTAATAGAAAAATAGAACACAAGTCCTGCTCTCATGATTCAGTCAGCTGCCTAGTGCCCTCTTCAACTAGGCTATGGTTTTTTAGGCCTGGGGTTGTACTTGGTTATTTATTTATTTTTGAGACAGGACTTCAAGCTGCTTCTTGTTTATTTGTTATAGTGCAAGGGGTGGAGCCCAGGCCTGCACGATGCTTCTCAGCTACATTCCTAGAGCCCGCCCTAGACTTTTGAGTTATCTGAATTTTATCCTGAAGCTACTCACAAAAACTCAGGGCACTTCCTTACCTACCAAATAATAAGGTTCAGAATACAAGCTGGGCCAGTGAGATGGCTCAGTGGGTAAAGAAGTTTGTTGTGTGAGCCTGATAAACTGAGTCTGATCCTGAGGTCCCATGTGGAAGGAGAAATCAATGCCACACACACACACACACCACTATCACCACTACCACCACCACTAATAATAATAATAATAATAGGTAAAATTTTTAAAAAGAATGCAAACTCACTTATATGGTCTACATAGCTGGAAATGCTCTTTAAGGAAAAAAAATCCTTTTAAAAGTCATGCTTAGTCACCTGACAGCACATCTGTAGTCCCAGCCCTGGGCTGGGAGGAGACAGGCAGATCCCAGATGGTTCCCTAACCCGCCAGCCTAGCTGACACAGCAAGCCCCAGGTCCAACAAGCTATCCTGTCTCAAAACATTAGGTTAAAAGCCACAGTGGAAGACACCTGGCATCTACTGCTGGCCTACAGGAGCAGTGTGGAGTGAGGTGACCCCCACACAAATGTATACAACACACACACACACACACACACACACACACACACACACGGAGGATTAAAATTGTAAAGTCATGGTTATCTTCTGTGACCACTTGGGACCCTGTCTCTAAGCCTTCCCCTTACCCCAGCTGCTTTAAGGGTTCTGAGTTGACTATGGTTCACACCTTTGCATGCAAACAGACCTCTCCCCTGCTTAGTAAAGCTGAGTACATAAGGGTACTGGCTTTTGTTTTACAGCACGCCATAGGGAAAATGATAGCAGCAAACTAAAATACCCTTTAAAATTGGTGTCAGAAATATTTCTGATGAATGCTATGACACAGTTTCTAAGAAAAGCAATCTGGTTTTATAAAAATGTGACTCTAAAAGGCAAAATTAAGTAACTTAACCAGATTTTTAAACACTAAGGCATCTACAACTTATTTAGAATTTTACAGCTGCTCTCTCGATTTACAAAGAAGATATACTTGCAGATAAAGAAGTTGGTTCTTGGGATTAGAGATGTATGTAGCTCAGCTGGCAGAGTACTTTGCCATGCACATGCATGAAGCCCTGGCAACTGGAAGGTGAAAGGCAGGAGAAGCAGCAACCCCAGATCATCACCCTTGGTGATATATGGAGTTTGAAGCTAGCCTGGGCTATGTGAGACCTTGGGGGAAAGGGGAGGGGAGGGAGGGAGAGGGACAGGAGGAGAATAAGCAAGAAAGAAGGGAGGAGGTTTTCCTAGAGACATTGAGATGAAGCTGTCTGTCTGGGTGTGCCTGATGTTGTTGTTTTTGTTTTTGTTTCTTTTGTTGTTGGTTTTTTTTGTTTGTTTGTTTTCTCCAGACAGGGTTTCTCTGTATTGCTTTGCTTTGGAGACTGTTCTGAAACTGGCTCTGTAGACCAGGCTGGCCTCGAATTCACAGAGATCTGCTTGCCTCTGCCTCCCGAGTGCTGGGATTAAAGGTGTGCCCCACCAATGCCCACCCGGCATTGGTTACATTTGTAACTGGACTTGGGAATCCCTTAGCTGCTCACCAACAAGCACGTGGGGTGTTTGTTAGTGCACCCGTGAACACTGCTACCCTCCAGTCAGGTGGGATAGATTTCTATGCAGCACCAACTGAGAGCTGTCTGTGTTTAGTGAAGAGAGGCAGATTGCAGAACGGAGCATATGGCATGAACCCATTTACATAGAATCCCAAGCGACAAAAACCTATGTGCCCGTGTAGAATGTTTGTAAGCAAGCAGAAAATGATCTGGACAGACACATGGCCAGCAACACCAGGGTGAGCCAGGGGAGAGGACACATGCGGGCTTCTCTTGTGTTAGGATTCTTCATGGTTTGTTTGAATTTTAACTAAGACATGTGAATTGATTTTACAATTTAAAGCACTCCATAAAAGAATAAAAACAGGCAATGAAAATCTAACAGCAGCAGGGAAATTGCTACAAGTTTGATGCCAGCCCAGCTTATTCATCAAGTTCAAGGCCAGCAAGGCTACAGAGTGTCTCAAGCTGATTGACTAAATTATTTAATAACTAATGAAAACCACCCCCACATTACCCAGAAAGTACTCACTTAAAGAGGGGCTGGCTGTTGGCCGTGTGGGTGTTGGCGGTGTGGGTGTTGAAGGTGGTGAAGGTGAGGGGCATGGCCCGGACACTGCAGCTTGCACGGTGAGGTTAAGATTGAAGGTTCCATTGAGCACATATGTGTGGTTCAGAGTGTGATTGTTGGAGACAAACAGGCCAGTGTTGTCCCCAAAGTTCCACTTGTAGGAAATGGCAGTGTCGTTGAGGAAGTGGCTGGGATCATGAATGAGCACATCGAACACAATGGGGAGGTCTCTAAGGAAGGTTTCATCAGATGAGTTCCGGTCATTCTTCTGGGACATGGTCACGAATACAGGGATCTGATCTAGAAGATGCAACAGAAGAAAGGAAGAAAACAGTTGTTGCTTGATTGTGAGGGGAGGGCTACAATGATGCATTCCGGATGACAATTAAAATGAGGCCTTCTCCTATGTAAACTTTAGGGTGTGTCAGCTGGGAAACAGGTGGGGTGCTGCAGGACCCAGTATTTCAGCTCTAGCTCACAGCCCAGGTAAGCTTCCCCTATCCCAGACACTAGGTGTTGACTCTCCTAGTCGGATGTAAAGGACCAAATGCCTTGTGTTCTGCAGATCTGAGTTCATACCACACACCTGTTATCGCATAGACGTCTTTCACCTGTGCGATGGGAATGTATGCCCGGCCGTATCTTCGAAAGACAGTCACTTCCATAACCTGATGGCCAAGTGTCATGTTGGTTGTGTTTACAGAAACCCGTGCTGAACACCGACCCAGTTTTTGGAAATACTGACCTGTGGAAGATGGACATTTTAGTTATTGGCGATATGACATGATCACTCAACAAAGTTGTTTCTGAAAGGCTGTTAAAGGCTGCCTGGAGGAGAGGACAGGCTGGATGCTCCAGAAAGGGAGGGCGAAGGTGCTGGGCTCCATGCAAAACCCAATGAGGCAACTCTATAGTTGCATGCAGGCAACTGCACACAGCTGGTTCCAGCGAAAGAGCTCTTTAGTGGGACAATATAATTAGTTCCTAATTTACAGATGAACGCTTTATTAAGTTTCAATGAAAATTATTTACTGTCACAGTGAGGTATCTGGGAGAGTTTTAAAAAGTTCTCTATTCACAAATCTACTTTATTTTTGTAACCATTTAAAAAGTAATTGATGTAAGTAGATGGCATGGCTCTGTTTAGATTTTTCTGGGAGACTATTCCTCCACTTTCTAGAAGTACTTGTACCTAAAGCAAGCAAGACAGGAGAGAGGGAGCAACTGTGGATCACAGATGCAAAGGCAATACCTCCACAAACACATTTGAGTCACTCCATTTCCGGCTGCTGCAGCCACCCCTGAAACCCACTGCAGGTGGCCACACAAGTGGCAGGTCAATGAATGACAGGCTTGGGGACCTGACCAACAGGGCTATGATGGCACCAGGGGAAAGCCAGTTTCAGACAGGTATGCTGCCTGGCTTATTCTGTACTTGTTCAGTGGGCTTGCTTTGTTGATGCTGAAGGAAAAGGATGCTCTTAGAGAAAGAACAAAACCGTTAGAAATCTAGGATTGCTCGGGAAGCATTCCAAACATTCAGCCTCAGTTGGCTCCTGGTGTGTGTGTGTGTGTGTGTGTGTGTGTGTGTGTGTGTGTGTTTGTAACTCAGGGCTTTTTACGTGCTGGGTATGTATTTTACCACTGACCCATAGACTTGGCACTCCAGTGATGTCCTGAGAATTCAGCAGCCTTGTTAATAATGATTAATTTTGTTCCTCTTAAAGAAACACTTCACTAATAATGCAGCAGAGTGAATGAATGTCTTTATGTTCTTGGAAAACAGAGGGTAGACTATGCCAGAGAAAAACAGTGTCTATATTGTTCTAGACTCACACAGTGGTGTATTATGCAGCCATTAAGACAATGTAAGGAAGTTTAAATAATATAGTCATATGCTATGAGAGCAAAATAAAAATGTGTGTCCATTATGATCTTAAACAAGAAACATCAATACTGAAAGCATCATTTAATAGCAATCATTTCTGATGCTATTTGTAGGTGATTTTTATGTTTTGTATGTACTCTTCTGTTTCCAAATTTCCCATAGAAAATATCCTTCTTTAACATTCACTAATACACTTAGAACACTGACAAATTAATGAATAAACAAATGAGCAACCATTTACTGTTTAAGTAAATATTTTGCACAGTACTGTGTTAGACTAATCTGCTGCTGCTGTATTAGAGAGAGTCAAATTCATTTCCTGTTCGTTCTCACTTTATTCCGTGATGCCCTGCAGATTGTCAAGGTTAACCAAGAGTTCACTTTTCCCTCACTATTCACCCGAGTTAGGAGAGCCAACAGAGGAGCAGGTGTTGTTTCAGTTATAGTGTGGGAAGACGCTGTTAAAGTGTGGTGGAAATATAGAGAGCAGAGTCTGTAAAACGAACCAAGTGTGTGAAAGACGTAGACAAAGCTCCATCTCTTCCTTCCGTGGGGGCGAGGGAAGGGCTTGCCGTCAGGGAACTCGAGGTGCTCGCTTTGGCTGGTGCTGCCTTCCCAGTCGCCATCCTCTGCCCCTGCTGTCCAGTTGTAGACATATCGGTCAGGGGTGAATCCCAAATCTAATCAAGAAACGAACAGGTTGAGCTAGTTTTCTGGCTTCCAAATGCCCAATGCTCAGCAAATACCTTCCTTCCTTCCTTCCTTCCTTCCTTCCTTCCTTCTGTCCTTCCTTCCTTCCTTCCCTCCCTTCCTCCCTTTTTCCCTCCTTCCCTCTCTCCCTCCATCCCTTTCTTCTTTTCTTATGTGTATTTACTATGAATACAGTGTTCTGCAGACATGTATGCCTACACGCCAGAAGAGGACACCAGATCTCTTTACAGAAGGTTGTAAGCCACCATGTGGTTGCTGGGAATTGAGTACAAGTTCTCTGGAAGAGCAGCCAGTGCTCTTAACCTCTGAGCCAGAATCCACTCATAGTGTATTGATGACTTGTGCACTTTCCTGTGCATGTGCTGTATTTCAATCAAGCATTATAATATCAATTTCCAGGAAGCTTCCATCTGGAGATTTTACTTAACACATGTCTTCCTGTTGCGTCTCCAATCTTGTGCTATTCAAACCAAACTACAGGGCATCAACGTCTAGCGCTGCACTGCCCTCAGCTTCTTTCCTCACTCACTTGATAGCACAGCTAAGCTCTGAATCACAACTGAGTCCTACATCTTCAACAGAGGACAGTCCTAAGGGGAGTGTTCCCTCAGGTCACTGCAGTGAGGTGGCCACACCCACCCCAGCAAGGCCCATGCACCCTCCCAGCCCAGGAGTCAGATCAAAAGAATCCCTCTCCTGCACCACAGCCAGATCTTCACCTCCAGGCAATCTGTCACCCTCTGCTGGCTTCTGAAGATACCACACACACACACACACACACACACACACACACACACACACACCTATACACAAGTAAATTAAAAATAAATCCTAAAAAGACATTCTCCTTGCTTTGCAGGACTGTAAGACAGCATGGCTTGTGCCACTGAAAGGAAAGCTTAGTATTACAAGTATACTAACGTGCAGAAAGGCAGCATTGAGGGTCTAACATGGTGCTGGGAGCTCTCTGCGGGTTTCAGCTCCTGCATTTCTTACAAGAAACTCAAATTCGAGTCAGTGAGCTGTGATGCAAATATCAGTACGGTGGGCACTGCATGCCTGAGCATAACCTCTCATAATGTGTAATATTTCCCATTCTAAGCAAGAATGGTCATTGTCTGTAGTCTAGAACAATCCCTTTGTGTCCTTTATCTGGCTACTAGTTGTTAGTCCGTTTAATTATATATAGTATAGTAACACACACTCTGGAGACTGAGGCAGGAAGATCATGAGCTTGAGGCTAGCCTGGGCTAGATAGAAAGATGGAAGAGAGAGATAGAGAGAGAGAGAGAGGTGGGAGAGATATTAAAAACATTTACCACTAGATAAATAATTAACACCCATCCATACAGAATTTAGTGTTTTCCTCAAAGGGAGATTAAGAAAAATTAATGTGGAATGAACACATCAACAGATTTACCAAGGTCATGAATGGCTCAGGCAGCTCACAATGCAGGGGCATCTTCATTGTTTGAGTAATCTCAGTGGTTATCTGAGATCTTCAGAGTGAACAATCCTCACAAGAGAGGGTTCCCTGATGTATTTATGCTCTTTTAACTTTGGCAATAAACTTATTTCCTTAAGAACAAAACAAAATCAGGGCATGTGCCTTTAGCATCTGTACTAGCAGAATATCATTTGCTTAAAAACCTTAGTCAATGGAAATAACCCTGTCAAATGGGGTCCTAGACGGTATTTCTTTTGTGGTCAGACAGGTAAAAAATGAGAATCTGAGCGTAGACAATGATTCTCTGTTCAATGGACATGAAGGACAAGCTGGGTGTGATGGTGGAGGAAATATAAGTTTTGAATGTGTGTGTAGTCCTGGGGATGGAGCCCAGGGTCTGCATGTTCCAGGCAAGTGCTCATTCATGGAGTTTGGCAAGACCTGGAACCAGGGAGGAGGGACAGGAGAGGGAAATTGGAGGTGGACAGGATCAAAGTCCATGATTTATGTATAGGAAAATATTTTGTACCTCGAATACAGGCTAATTAAAAAGGAAGTGAAACCTCACCACCACCAGCACTCACACAATTTGCTAAGGAGAGATGGGTAGTGTTGGCATTGATGAAGGGGCTGGACAGCTCCATACATCCCTGTAACCCAGCTTGAGGAAGGGGTAGGAAGGGGCGGTGACAACAACTGTGAGCATTGGGACCATGGGTGGGGCTCCAGGAGGAGAGCTGGCCTTCTTACCATTCCTGCAGTTCTTCTCATAGACGATGTTGCCATTGGCATCTTCCTTCTGGCATCTGGGGAACACCAGGTTCACCACAAATGTGATATTGGAACCCACCAGAGCTGGTGAGTCACTGGTCAGGACTGCCTGCACGCGGCCTCCTAGAGCAACAGAGAAGGGAGCTCATTTCTCCAGAAGGCCCTTCACCGAAAGAGTTTAAAATAAAGTAGTATCTATCTATCGGGTGTTAAATTTATTTCCTGGATACCAACTTTAGCTTTCACAGTACAATACCATAGAAAAAGTAAGTCAGACTTGTTAAAGGGTTTTCTAATCATGGAAAAGATATTCACCGAAGTTAAGAACAAAAGGGACTGGAGGGTTGGCCCTGAGGTTAACAGCCCTGCTGTTTTTAGAGGACCCTGGTTCAAACCCAGCACCCACACGGCAGCTCACAACCATCTGTAACTCCAGTTCCAAGGGATCTGATGCCCTTTAATGACCTTCTATGGCACCAGTCACATATTTGGTGCACAGATATACACAGACAAAACACACACACACACACACACACACACACACACACACACACACACAGTCTGTTCTTTGGGTTGAGGAGACACATGCTGAAAATGTATAGACTTTAACCTTGAAACCAACTGATTGGAGGCTCAGCCTTGACCTGCAGGAAATGAAATGCTTTCTGGTAAGTGACACTTCCGGGTGATCAGGCCATGTCTAGGCTTTTCTGAGGTTGCCTACAGGTTTGACTCCAAACCTGCTTACTCTCTAAAATACTCTAAGAGCAATGACCTTGCAAATGTCTAAAAGTCCAGGTGATATGGAGACTCAGAGAGTGAAAATGCTGTGAGGAGGAGGAACTGGCCGTATCCAGGGGCTGCTCATTTGCAACTAGTGCATGGCATTCATGGGGGCCCGGGCCCTGGAATCCAAGGCTCCTGCCATGGCCCCGGGACTGGGATTTCCCACTTACTTACCTTCCCAGGAGCTCTTCCACATGCCATCTCCCCTCTTCCACACCGGGTACAGGTTTTCATTCCACTCAGTTTCATCAGAAGACCAGCCACGTAATTGGCTGTGTTCCCTCAGGTGACCTGGATACTGCTCATGGCCCAGCACATCACGAAATCCTGTTAGTGTTTGGAAAACAAAAGATTTTTGTCCATTCCATTTCTCACTTTGCATTTCTAAGAGAAAATGGTCGATGAAGCTTTTCATTTTAGATCATTGGGAGGCACGTGTATTATATAGCCAATGCATCGAGTAAATAAAGTGCTTAAAAAATGTCTGGTTGGGTGCAGTGACACACACTCACTATTCCCAGCACTTGGGATGCGGGGGAAGGCAGACCTTCTTGAAGCTGAAGCTAGCCTGGTGTACATAGTGATTTACAGGCCAGAAGTCTGCTAAGGCTGGTGAGATGTCTCAGCATTGGCCACCAACACTCACATAGAAGCATGAAGCATGTCCACTGACATGCCAGAGACTTGCCCACCAACCTCCACACATGCCACACCCCAATACAAATAAACAAGTAAACATAAAATAAGTCTACTTAATGTAATGACAAAGATTGTAGATTTGAACCGACTATCTTTATTTTTTCTTATTTATATATTTTGATTTTTTTGAAACAGAATCTGATGTGGTTCTGGTTGCTCTCAAACTGTGTAGCTTAAGATAACCTTGAACTCCTGGTGGGGCTGAGTTCCCCATCAGGTGTGCACCAAACCTACCTTCTTTTGTAGTTTGGGGGACAATAACTGGATTTTATCTTATCTCCACCACTGAATTATAAATGATATCCCTTTGTTTTGGTTTCTCTAAAGTTTGTTGTAATTCTTTGAAACTTCTTCATAATCTTAAATTGAGTTTTTTGGCTGTTGTTTTGCTTGCTTGTTTGTTTTGGTCTTGCCTGAAAACTTGGCTGGTCTTGTGGTCTCTATGCACTTTGAACATTGTAGCAGGTTGGTTGATGTTTACCCAGCAGCCATTGCCTGCCTACTCCTCTTTTAATCCCCTTGGTAACAGATCCTTATCTGTAAGGGATCACAATTTCCAAAGGCTCCATTCGCCAGCTTCCCTGCAGTGGGAGTTTGGGAAGATGATTATACCCTGGCTTAGGGAAGCTGAGAGAAAGTCTGCTGGAATTTCTGGGAAGTGTTCCTCTGTTACAAAGAAGACACATGAGAAATGGCCTTGGCCTTCTCTCTTCAGAACTGACTTCAGAGGTACAGTATGCTTGACCACGACAGCCCTGTTTAACCATGAATATGCTCATGTGGAAACAGCCCACACATCAGTGTTGTCAGATTAGAATTTGAAAGGAACAATAACCACCTAGATGACATTATTGAGTCATTGCTCTGGTGCTGCCCACCTGTGCTGGTCTGAATGAAAATGGCCCCAATAGGCTCACAGGGAGGGGCACTATTAGGAGGTGTGGCCTTGAAGGTGGAAGTATGTCACTGGGGGGTGGGCTTTGAGGTTTCACATGCTTCAGCCAAGCCCACTGTCTTTCTCTCTTCCTGATGCCTGTGGATCCAGATGTGGAACTCTCAGCTCCTTCTCCAGCACCATGTCTGCCTGAACACTGCTTCTCACCATGATGATAATGGACTCAACCTCTGAACTGTAAGCCAGCTCCGGTTAAAAGCTTTCCTTCATAAGCATTGCTGTGTCATGGTGTCTCATCCCAGCAGTAGAAATCCTAACTGAGACACTACCTCTGGGCTGCATGTTAGGATAAGAAGAATCTTAGCCTTCTCTATTTCAGCCCAAAGCACCAGAACAATGACTAAGGCAGCCTCTAACCACACTGCCTACACAGTCTACAACTGTTTTCTCATCAATTTATATGACCCTGCATCTTTGCCATGAGCTCTTGTGGACCAGCAACTGTCTTCATGATTTTGATGCTGGAAGAAATACCATAAGGTATGGTGTTTAGTGGATACTCATAGAATTAATTTTGAATACATGCACTAATCTGTTCCCTCTGTTCAAGATATTACCTCTTACAAGTCGAGCAGAATGATGGCACAGGATACTTGGAACTCTAGGCCCCTCACAGTTTAGGTAAATGCTCACATGTTAGGGAAACTGGGCTACACCCCCTGCCCAGGTGTGGTGTGTATGTGTGTGAGTGTTGGTGTACACAACTTCAGGTGCCATCCTCAGAAGTGCTGTGTAGAGCTCACCAATTAGGACAGACTGGCTGGCCACCCAGATCCATCAGTTTCTACCTTCTTTACATTAAGAGATTTTTGTGTATGCCCTGCTTTTTTTTGTAGATGCTGCATGTGGAATTCAGGCTGTGCCTGTGAATCAGGCAATGCAGCCATTGAGCCATCTCTTAACCTCTTGTTCCTTTCTCAACAGACAGGCATATGCAGTGGGAAACAGCATTAACTAGAGGTCATGGTTCATGGTCTCTGTCATGCAGAATTAAGCTGCTTCCATTCAATCTCACTTTAGAGATGAAGACATCTAGAGAGAGAGAGAGAGAGAGAGAGAGAGAGAGAGAGAGAGAGAGAGAGGCTTCACTAGGTCACCTTCAGTCTAGTGCAAAAGGAGATTCACCTCCTTCATGCCCACCAGCTCTTCTTTCTTACTGTTCCAGAGTCTTTGCCCTCAGATCCCGAGGAAGAATGTTTCTAGAGATGCAATCGAAGCACAGTTCGGGTTGGGGTGTGACCCTGTGGTACGGTGCTTGACCGGCATGCAGGGACCCTGGCTTTGAACAGCACCACCAGAAAAACAAAACCCAACACTGACAAAACCGCACGGATAGGTCTTTTGCTTGTAAACTTCAGAAGTCAAAGAAAAATACAGCTTGAGTGTTGGTGTAGCCTTTAATCCCAGCACTCAGGAGACAGAGGCAGGTGGATCTCTGTGAGTTAGAGGTCAGCCTGATCTACAGTGAGTTCCAGGAAAGTGGGGCCACACAACGAAACCCTGGCTTGATGAAAACAGAGAGAGAGAGAGAGAGAGAGAGAGAGAGAGAGAGAGAGAGAGAGAGAGAGAGAGGGAAGGAGGGAGGGAAGGAGGGAGGGTGAGGGAGTACCGGGAGCAGTGAAGGAGCAGGGAAGTCAGCAGCAAATCTGTCCCATCCCTTCCAGAGATCAAACCACATACAGAATCATTAGAGGAGCTGGAGAGATGACTCAGTGGTTAAAAATGCCAGTAGCACTTGCCCAGGACAGGAGTATGAATTTTAGCAGCCATGTCACGGAGCTCCCAAATGCTCCAGCTCCAGGAGATCTGGCGCCCTCTAGTGGTCTCTGCAGGCACCACCCCCACACATAATAAAATAAATCTTTTTAAAGGTTAAAACAACAACAACAAAACCTCAAAAAACAAAAAACCAAACCAAACCAAAACAAAAAACCAAAAACCCACAACAGAGAAAAGACACATTTTAAAAAGCAGCAAGCAGAGATGAAAGCATCAGGGTTTAGGATTAGACAAGAATTCTTAGATTAACACCAAAAGCATAATCCATAAAAGGAAAAACTAATGTATGAGCCCTTATTCAAGTAAAAATAAATAAATAAATAAATAAATAAATAAATAAACAAACTTCTCTGTGATATCTTCTGAGAAAAAGCAACAGAAAGCTACAGGCTAGGCATACATCATAGTTCCACCAATATTAAAAAGCAATTCAAAGACCAGGCATTGGTGGTGCATGCTTTTAATCCCAGCACTCGGGAGACAGAGGCAGGTGGGTATCTGTGAGTTCAAGACAAGCCTGGTCTACAGAGCAAGTTTCAGGACAACCTTCAACTCCACAGAGAAACAAAAAACAAAACAAAACAAAACAAAAAACCCCAAACTCCCCAAAACAAAAACAAAAAACAAAACAACAAAAAACAAAACAAAACAAAAAAACAAAAACAATCCAAGACAGTGGTGGTGCATGCCTTTGATCCCAGCACGTGGGAGGCGGAGAAGCAAAAAACAAAAACAAAAAACAATCCACATGAGGGCACACGACAGATGATGTGCAGACATCAAACACTAGAGGATCAATACCACAAAAGTAAAAAGTAGTGCCAGTGTCTGCCAAGGAACTAGAACAATAGGGTCACTTCAATGCTGGCGAGAGCTTGAAAAGGTGAAAGCCAACCTGCTAAATTCTAGCAAAAGTCAACATGTCCTTTTTTTCTTATTCAAGAGACAGGGTTTCTCTGTGCAGCTCTGGTTGCCCTGGAACTCACTCTGTAGACAAAGCTGCTCTCAAACTCACAGAGATCCCCTGCCTCTGCCTCCAATTGCTGGGATTAAAGGCATGTGCCACTGTGCCTGGCATAACTTGTCTTAAATTGTACCCTTTGGTATGAATCCCAGAGAAATGAAAATTGTAACCACACAAAAATTCACACATGAGAAATTCATAGCATCTTTACTCGGAACAGCATGACTTGGAATACCTTCAGTGGGTGAGGGTTAAAGTGGTCGGTCCTGACCATGAACTACTTACTACTCAAAAACAACAACAAAAAACAAAACAAAACAAAAACCAACCTATTGAGGCAGCTGTAATGTCAATAACCCCTGTCCATTGTCTAAAGTCACATACTGTAAAATTTCCATTCTGGAAATAATAAGATTATTTAAAGGGCAGATTCCTAGTGGCCAGGAACTGGAGCTGGGTAGAGGAAGGTGTTTGTTTAAAAATGGCATTGGATTGTTGTGGTGGCATTGAGTATGTTCTATACTTCAATTGTCTTCTCATCAGGATCTTGGTTGTGATATTTGGTTGTGTTTTGTCTAATTTTGCCCTTGGGCGAACTGAGTAAAGGTTATATTGGAACTTGTCTGAATTATTTCTTTTAATTCGAATGCATGCACAACTGTCTGAAAACATAGTTCAACTGAAAACCAGATAAGCCCAATAGCAAGCAAACTTTAATGGGGGGGGGCAGAATGGAAGTTGTGGAGTTCCACTATCTTCACTGGGGCTCCCCGACACCCGCCCGGGCTGCTCACTACCTGCCTCCATCATACCAGAGTCAGGACTGCTAACTGCTACAGGACTTGCTCCTTGTGTCTGGAATGTTGAGTCCAGACCCAAGCATGAACCCAAGAATGCCTGGGGCTTTGAGACATTGATTAACAGCCCTATTCTGTCTGACAGCTTCTAGCTATTTGTTTGTTTGGTTTTTTTTGAAGCAGGGTCTCACTATGTTGCTCGGACTGTCCTTGAACTATGTGCACTAGACTGTACGGAGATCTACTTGCCTCTCCCGAGTTCTGGGACCATCAAAGATGTGAGCCACTCAGCACGGCTTTGACTGCTGTTTTATTGAGTAGAGCCGCCGGGTTTTGGTGAGAGAGCTTTAACTGCTGACTTCTGACTTCTATTCTTACTCCTGGCTCTTGATACTCTGTCCGTGGGAGGTTTCTTGGGGCGCTCAGATGGGTCCTTAAGAATCACCACTGATTACTTGTTCTGGCCAGGCACCTTTGCTAGCCGATCTCCCAAGACTCTAGAATCCACTTTTGCAAACGAGGAAAAGGAAACTTAGCGAAGCCAACTCCCTTGTGGCCCAGTTAGCAGCTGGCACGAACATAACTCCGTCCTATCCCAAACCCTGGCAGGAAGGTCAGTGGGTGAGATGGTAGCATCCCCTTCTATCTGCTATCTGTGTGACCCGGGCCGAATTCCTAGCCCTCTCAGTGGCGGGGTTTCTTGTCTGGGGAAACCCGACAATCACAAGGTCAGCTTCCCGCGGATCTGTGAAGGCACCTCACCTAGACACAAGGTGGGACATTCCACCTGGCACCCCGCTGGCTGCTGTATCTGAGTTTGGAGTCCAAACCCACTAGCGCTGTGCGCCCCGAGTCTAGGGCTTTGAGCACTCGGGGCGGGGTTGTGGTGGGATCGGGCCGGCTTACTGGGCAATCGTCTGGTGCAGGGTCCAAGCGGTTCCTCTCTGCCAGGCCTGGGATCCAGCCAGGACGACCTAAGAGAGGGGCTGGCTTGCACTAGAGGAGGCAGGGGATGAGGTTGCCCGCTCCTCTGGATCTGTCCCAGACCAAGGTGGTGTTGGGGGTTGCCTGTGTTAGCTGGGGTTACCACCAGCCAGGCGGCCACACTCGGGCTCAGAGAAGATGCGGGTCCTGGCTGGTCCCTGTCCCCTGGAAGTGAGGTGGAGTGCCCCCCCCCCCCGCTTCACATTAGCTCCGTTAGGCACGGGACAGCCACACCCCGACACCCCGGCAGGAACAAGTGGGCGTGCTGGAACACCAAGGATGTTGGACCAGGATGCCCAACTCCGGAAGACGCCGCCTGCCACTGGGCATCCGTTGTTGGTAGGGCCCCTGCCGTTGAGCCCACCTAGGGTGAAGCCGGTTCGTCCCTTAGTATCCTCACTGGAGACGCAGTGCTCCCTGCGGGGTGCAGGGGGTAGGGTTCGGGAGCTCTGCAGTTAGCGAGAGCCTCATTTAAGAACTCCGCCCTGTGAGCGGGAAGCAGAAGAGGGCGGTTTGGGAGACTTGCTTTATTCTTGGGTACAGGCTGTACTCCCGCTTCCAGCTACAATAGGGCCAGGGTGGAAAAGGTTTCCAGTGGCCGCGTGGCTTTTGCTCTCTGAGCCCCAAGCAAATATCACAGTCCCAGCATTCGGAACAGAGCCCGCTTCCTGCGGACCCCCAAACTCCACACGAGTGCCCCGACCCATCGCTTGTACCAGCCAATGCAATTCCCCAGAGAGGGCGGGACTCACGCTTGGCCTCTTGGAGAGGCAGTCCTGAAGCCAGCAGCAGAAATCCCAGGACCCCGAAGAAACTTTCCATGCTGAGTCCGAGCGCCCGCAATCAGTCAGGGCTGGATTCTCACTCCCTAAGCCCATCCACCACGAGTCACGGTGTCAGCCTCCTTCCTGCGCCCCGCTCTGTTTTATGAAATACCGGGCCTGGGAAAGATCATGTGATGTTTTAAGCCGTGTGCCTTGATCTCCTGAATCCCACCTCTTATGAACTCGTGTTCATGACTCACTCGCCCCTGGCATCTATTTATTGACTTCGGATGCACTGTATTTTCATTCTGTGATCCTACATTTACTCCTCTCTTTTCTTTTCTCTCTCCCCTCCCCTTTTCCTAGCTTAAAGGGAGCTTCCTAACATCCTGTTCTGACATTTCTTCCTTGTTGAATTTTGTGGTTCGGCCCTCGTTTCCCTGCTCATAGGACCCATCTTTCCAGAATTGGGACAGCAAGCAGCACCAGCTAGCATTCCCTCCATGCCCAGGGCAGGCAGATACCAAAGGGTCATTGTAATCAGATGCCATTGTGCTATAAATACATGGATACAAACATTACATGCTGGTACACAAATTGCAAGGTCGGGACAACCCACAGACTTTTAGCAGTGGGGAAATGTACCCCACAGCCATTTATGATGTAACCACTCGACTCCATAGTATGTTCAGAACAAACCGCATCCTGTTTGTGACTGCTCTCAGCGTTTGTGTGTGTTACATAATTCCAGGTGAACTGCGTGAAGCACACTGCATATTACCATATAGCAAACATCGAGTGTAGAAACAACCTTGTCTGGAACATAAATTTCATATACTCAAGTCATTTCTGGTTATAGACAGTGTAGAAGTGTGGCCCCTCACTGGTGTGCTGGCCTCTAAGGCACATCCCTATGGCTGTTTTCTGGGCATGAGAAGTCCTGGTTGCGGTACACACTGACTAATGGTCCATTGTAACATGGGGACTAGGGCTGGTGTGTGGAAATGAATCAGAAATGGAGGATTCTACACATTCACAAAGAAGCAAAGGTCTCCAACACAGAGAAAGATGGAAATACTGGTTCATGTAATGTAAATAATACACAGGGTTCTTTATACAACACATATAACTTTTCAATGAAAAACAAACACTAAGCCTTGTGGTGAACTCCTTTAATCCTAGCACTCAGGAGGCAGAGGGACCTGGATTTCTATGAGTTCAAGGCCAACCTGATTTATATTGCAAGTTCTAGGCCAGCTAAGGTTACACACCGAGTCCTGACTCAAAAACAAAACAAAATGAACAAACACAAACAGAAAAAGCAAGCTTTGGAGCTGGTGAGATGGTTTAGTAAGTAAAGGCCTTCGCTGTCATTTGAAGACTTGAGTTCAATTCCTGGAACCTGCATGGTGGGAGGAGAGAATTGACTTCAAGTCCTCTGGTCTTCATATAAGAGCTGTGGACCAGTTTCTCCAGCCCCCAATAAGTGTAAACAACAACACATTTTCAACATTTAGCAAACATCCTCAGGTTGAGGTGTTAATGTCCTTTATGGCTGATGTAGTTCTGGCTTGCATTTTTGGTGAGGTGAGAGATATGTGTTTAAATAAATTGGACATGTTAAACTTTTCTGGAGCTGCAACCATCAAATTATCTTTTACCTTTTGCCTTCCATGCCCCATCAGGAGAGGTGGCAACCTGTCGGGCAGGAATCAAAGGTCAGCTGCTGGAATTAAACTGGAATGGGAAATCTTCCTCCTCCTTCTCCCCCTCCTCCCCTCCTCTCTTTCTACTTCCTCTTTCCTCTTCATCTTTCTCCTTCTCCAGAGTGTCTGGGTTCAATTCCCAGCACCAACATGGTGGCTCACAAGCATTTGTAACTCCAGTTCCAGGAGTCTCACAGTTTCTTCTGAGCTCCTCAGGCACCAGGCATGCTTATATTCCAAAGAGCTGTAAACGGGACAACCTGCTTTTGACAATCAGACAATGGCAACATGCGGTACGCAAGGTCAGGGCTGTTGGGGAGAAGGGATATTCATGCCTTGTTTTATTAAAAGAAAATCATCCCACAAAAAGTTAGGAATAATTCACTGAAAAAAGAAAACATCTGGACTCTTTGACAATTACTCTGCTTAGAAATGGTGCCAAGGGAGATGAGCTGTAGTCACCTCTAGAGAAATAGCCCCAGGGGTCTCTCAGCACTGTGCATGCTGTCCCTCCTTCAGGTGGCCACTGTCTTGGCTTTCACTGTGCCTTGGATGTGATGACTGAAGCAGACACCCAAAGGGACACACAAAGTGGCAGGCTGTAGCTGAGCCTAAAAGTTCCAGCTGGACCTCGGTAGCGCCGTCTGGCCTCTAACTAGTTGTGACATTGAAGATGATCCTGGACTTCTGATCTTCTTGCTTCCACCTCCTAAATACCAAGATGACAACTGTGTGGGACCACACCTCCACAGTGCGGGGAGCTAAACCAGGGCTTTGTGTGCTCTAGGCAAGCGCCCAACCGACTCACCTTTATCCCCAGTGCTCCCTCCATTAACATCCTTTAATTTTAGAAATTGCTCAGTCCAAACCATTATTTTTAAAATGAGATCACAAATCCAGTTCCAATCTAGTCCACTAACCCTTAAAGTTTTTTCTTTTATGTATATGGATGTCTTGACTACTTACATTTTTACACCACATGTGTGCCTGGGGCCTGTGGGGGCCACAGGAGGGTATCAGATCTCCTGGAACTGGAGTTGAAGATGCTCGTGAACCACCATGTGGCATGTAATGTTAATTGCTGAGCCATCTCTTTAGCCTACCCCTGGAGTTTAGCTACTCTGGAGTTTCTTTTAACAAATGGCCAAAACTCAGAGGCTTAAAACAACTAAAGTTTATTAACTCTTTGCCTTGGAAGTCAGAGGTCTGAACTGGGTCTCAACTAGGCCCAGACCAAAGCATGGTTCCAGTGACAGCTCACTCCCTTGTCTCTTCTCTAGTCTCCAGCTTCTCACACTTTCCGGTTTGTGGCCAACCTCCCTCTCAACAACCATCGCTGGTAATGGAGACTTTCTCACGTTTCAGTCTCCTGGCAGAGTCTCCTGGCCCTCTGTTTGGCTTACAGACCCCTTATTTCATGGGGCTTACCTGGATGTTCCAGAACCCTTTTCTGTCTCAAGGTCAGTGGTCAGACACTTTTGATGCAACCTCATTCCTCACCTTTTGGCATTTGCCATATCACCGATTTATAGGTCCTATGGGTTAGTATTAGACACGTCTGGGGGTCATTACCCTTCCTCACAGTTATCCAGAAGGTGGCTTGCAAGAAAAAAGAAATCATGAAGGTGGGTGATTGGAATGGTGTTGGACAATAACCCCCAATTTTCACATCCCTGTTGAAACTTGTGGCAGAGTAGGAAGGTAATAATAAACTTAAAATTAAGGGGTCAGCTCCTAAAGAGAGGCAGCCCACATGACTGCCAGGCAGTAATGTGGGCTTTTACATGTGTCATGAGCAGAGTCACAGTTTTCAGATTTAAGCATTGCCAGATGACTAAGAGACTTCTGCTATGTCCAATTCTTGACACCCTCCTGCCCAGTGGTTCTCTGCATGAATGAGTAATTAAACCCCTGATTGTAAGGCTTACTGAGCTTTGAGCCTACTCTTCCCCCCCCCCAAATATTTTTTTCTGTGTCTTCAGAAAGGAGAAGAAAAGGAACACACAGTCTAACATGACCTTTCAAGAGGCTAGCTTGTCTTCTAATGCTACATTTTGTTTATGTGGTGTGCATGTCTGTGTGCCACACTGCATGTATGGAAGTTCACTCTTCTACCTGTGAGTTCCAGGGGCTGACTCAGCGTGTCAGGTTTGGTGGTAAGCACCTTTACAAGCTGGGCAACCTGGAACCTGCGTCCCTCCGTCCCTCCGTCCCTCCCTCCCAGGACAGGGTCTTTCTATGGAGTCTGGACTGACCTGAAACTCTTAGTTTTAGCCTGCCAACTGCTGAGATTAGGTGAGGGAGAAGCACATGTCCTTCCTTCTTTTATTCTACCCACCCCTTATACAACGGCCTGCTGGATTTTTGTTGTTGTTGTTTTCCAGACAGGGTTTCTCTGTAGATTTGAAGCCTGTCCTAGAATTCACTCTCTAGACCAGGCTGCCCTCAAACTCATAGAGATCGGCCTGCCTCTGCCTCCTGAGTGCTGGGATCAAAGGCATGTGCCACCACCACTCGGCCCTGCTGGATTATTTTTAAGGCAGTCCTAATATCATTGGGTTTAAATGAAGTTATGTAGAAAGAATGACAGGAGTTTGAGAGGCTGGAAGAAAGTCAGATGTGTTCCTAGGGAAAGTGTGATCTGGCTCTTGCATAAGTTGAGCTGACTAAAGCCTAGACACATATAGAAAAAGCAGCCAGGCTGAGGGGCTGCATGAACAGAAGAGCGACTGTATTCTTCTGGGTCTGAGTCTCACACAGCCATGGCTGACTTGGAACTTGATAATGTAGCTGAGGATGACCTTGAACTTCTAACATCCTTCCTCTATTTTCTAAATGCAGGGACTCCAGGTTTGTGATACCATATCCAGTTTTCTCTGGTGCTGGGGATTGTACTTAGGGCTCCCTGTATTCTACCAGCTGAGCTACAACCCCAGCCCCAAGAAAAATAAGTTGAAAGAATAAAATATTAATAACACCCTACGGTGTGGTGAACCTCACAAACATTGTGTCAAATGAGAGAAATCATACATAAAAGTCACATAATTCCATTTGAATCATACTCACGATAGACAAATCCATAGAAACAGAAGGTGGGCTGGTGGTTGCCAGGGACTGTAGGGAAGAGGGGCGACCAAGGGATGGCACTTCTGGGAACAAAAAACCACCGGCGTGTTCAGTTCCATCAACTAATATTTGTTTTGAGAGAAGGCCTCATGTAGCCCAGGATAGTATTGAACTTGCCATGTAGATGGTAGGTGAGGCTAGCCTTGAAATCCTCTCTTCTTCATTGCCCAAGTGTTAGGATTACAGGCTTGCCTCACCATGTCTGGGCTTGAGTTGTTTACTTCAAAATGGTTAATTAAGGGGGCTGTGGAGATGGCCCGGTGGGTGAGAGTGCTTGTTGCACAAACACAAGGACCTGAGTTCAATCCCCAGCACCCACATAGAAAGCTGGGTACAA